ATTGCTAATGCTAATGGAGTAACATATCCAGTAATAGGGGCTGGAACTGTTGCTCTCTCTTCATCTTTTTCATTGCCAAATACTTTATTGGTTCCATCACTCTCCAGTAAATTGTTATCTATAGGCCAAGCAACTGAGGAATTGAATTGTTGTGCACTAATGTATCCTGATTTCTGTTTATTTCAGGATCACCAATGAGATTATTGGTCGTGGTACTAAAAGGGAAGGGCTGTATTATATGGATGATTTTAGCCATGGAAGAGCAAATATCATGCATCACACTGGGAACAAAGAAAGGCAGATTTGGTTATGGCACAATCAGTTAAGGCATCCCTCATTTTGCTATTTAAAATATTTATTTCCAGAATTATTTTCTAAGTTAAATGAGTTAGATTTTACTTGTGAAGTTTGTATTCAAGCTAAGAGTCATCGTGTACCCTATCCAACAAGTTGGAATAAATGTAATACTCCTTTCTTGATAGTTCATTCTGAAGTTTGGGGCCCCTGCTCCTATTTCTATTTCCTCTGGTGTTAGATGGTTCGTAACCTTTGTAGATGACTGTACACGAATGACCTGGCTTTATGTGATGAAGAATAAACATGAAGTGTTTGAAATATTCCAGTCATTCCACAACATGATTAGAACACAAATTTCTGCTAAACTTCAGCTTTTGCGATCAGATAATGGTGGAGAATATGATAATGCACAACTACAAAAATACTTTCAAGAACATGGCTTGTATCAGAAACCACTTGCTCAAGAACCCCACAACAAAATAGTGTTGTAGAGCGAAAGAATAGACATATCCTAGAAACAACTCGAGCCCTCTTAACTGCTGCTTATGTCCCTCAACAGTATTGGACAGATGCAGTGGTTATTGTCGTGTATTTGCTCAATCGAATGCCATCACGAGTTTTGAACTACAAAACCCCGTTCCAAGTTCTTGCTGACCATGTGACATTACCGTCAGTTCTAATTCTTCCTCCAAAGCAGTTTAGTTGCGAGAAATCAGAGAACAAAACTTGATCCATGCGCTGTCCGTTGTGTATTTCTGGGGTATGCATCCCATACGAGAGTTATCGGTGTTACAATCCTAAAACAAGGCGGCTTTATACAACCATGGATGTTACCTTCATCGAATATGAGAACTTTTTCACATCACAATCTTCCCACTCTTCTCTTCAGGGGAAGATGATGATTGAAGAGCAAAATTGGGAAAATTGGCCAGGCTTCGAAGAAACATCAGTGTCAATTATAGGAAGCTCTTCAAAAATTAATGAAACCCAACATACAGGAATAGAGCCAACAGCACAAATAATGGGCCAAATGGAAGAAATTGAGAATGTTAAGTATGTTAAGACAGAGAGTGAACAACAACCAGCAAGAGCAGATCAAAGTGGGAAGACTTCTGAGATCGAAAGAGATGAACAGCTCTTCCCTTCCCCACTAGTACCACTAAGAGACCAATCTCCTTAGAATATCCCTGAGATACAACCTCTAAACTCTTCTTCCAATAATTGTGTAGATGATTCTGTTGGCTCTAGACTACCTTTCAGGTATAATCGTGGAAAACCTCCAGATCGTTACTCACCAGATCATGGAAAGAGCAATTCAAAGTATCTGATTGCTAACCATGTCACAACTCAGAGATTGTCTAAATCTCTTAAAGCATTTGTTCATAAATTATCTGCAAATCATGTTCCTAATACAGTGAGTGAAGCTATGAATAATCCCAAATGGATTCAAGCAATGAATGAAGAGATGAAAGCTTTATGGAAAAATGATACTTGGGTGCTCGTACCATTACCCAAGGTAAAGAAAACTGTGGGATGTAGATGGGTGTTCTCTATCAAACACAAAGCAGATGGCACAATTGAAAGATACAAAGCAAGAGTCATCGCGAAAGGATATACTCAGACATATGGAATAGATTATCAGGAAACCTTTTCACCTGTAGCAAAACTAAATACTGTGAGAGTGTTGATCTCTCTTGCTGCAAACCTAGACTGGCCACTACATCAATTTGACATTAAAAATACCTTTCTTTATGGGGATCTTGAGAAAGAGGTATACATGGATATTCCACCTGGTTTTGCTACTTCATTACAGTTGAAGGTAGTTTGCAAGCTACAGAAGGCGTTATATGGATTGAAACAGTCACCTAAAGCATGGTTTGGCCGATTTAGCCCAGCCATGAGAAAACATGGGTTCAAGCAAAGCAATTCAGATCATACTCTTTTTTTGAAGCACCAACAAGGGAAGGTAACGGCTTTGATAATTTATGTTGATGATATGATAATTACAGTAAATGACAAGGAAGAAATATCCAGTTTTCAAGAGTATTTAGCAACTGAATTCGAGATGAAAAATCTTGGGGGGTTGAAGTACTTTCTAGGTATTGAAGTAGCTCGGTCAAGACAAGGCATATTTCTATCACAGAGGAAATATGTACTTGACTTACTATCTGAAACAAGAGTGCTTGATTGTAGACCTGCTGATACACCAATTGTTCAAAACCATGGTTTGGGAGAATTTTCAAAGCAGACCCCTGCAAATAAAGAGAGGTATCATCGCCTTGTGGGAAAGTTAATCTATTTGTCTCACACACGACCCGATATTGCTTATGCGGTGAGCATGGTAAGCCAGCTCATGCATTGTCCTAGTGAAGATCATATGAGTGATGTGGTTCATATTCTACGTTACTTAAAGTCTTCCCCTGGAAGAGGACTAATGTTCAAGAAAAACCAACATTCATACAATGATGGCTATACGGATGCGGACTGGGCAGGGAATATTAGTGACAGAATCTACATCAGAATATTTCACATTCGTAGGAGGAAATCTTGTCGCATGGAGAAGTAAAAAACAGGAGGTGGTTGCTTTATCTAGTGTGGAGGCTGAGTTCAGAGGCATGACTAAAGGACATTGTGAACTACTTTGGCTAAAAAGGTTATCAGAGGAAATTGGATGTTCATCTCAGTCTACGATGAACTTATTTTGTGATAATAAGGTAGCAATAGCAATTGCACACAATCCAGTTCAACATGATAGAACCAAACATGTTGAAGTGGATCAACATTTCATCAAGCAGAAACTTGAGGACAAGGTGGTTCAATTCCCTTTTGTAAAATTAGAAGACCAGTTACCACACATTCTTACAAAGGCGGTCTCTAGTAAAGTATTTTACAACTCACTTGACAAGTTGGGCATTGAAGATATCAATGTACCAACTTGAGGGGGAGCGTTGACGTGAGTTGCAAAAAAAGCTCTTGAAGTGATTTCAGGAATCAACCAATATTCTACCTACTGCATTTAGCTTTATTCGTTCAGTGATTGTAGGGCATAAAATATTCTAACCTAAAAATAAATTAATTTCTTTCTTCCAAAAATAGTCTCGTGTATAGAATATATAACTTCCTCTTTGTATTAAAAACATATATGAATGAAATACTATTCTTTTCAACAATGACTAGTTTTTGTTAATTTCTTGCAAAAGGCTTGGACATTCTTGACCTTAACAATCCTCTTTCACACGTCCCTCCAAATAGTTGACATTGCATTACAATAAAAGTAGGGATAATTGTAGTAAAGGTCTCAAATCTTTCAAAACTATGGCGAAAGGTTTTTCTGAGTAGTTAGTTGACCAAAGCATTTGACCACAACTTGATCAAATGTAAAAGGAAATATGATCTTTTAACATTTATTAATTACAAAAGGAAAATTAGCATCGGAGGTGCCAAACATTTCAAAAATGTGCAGCAATCCCAAACCTTTAATAAATATGCTTGAAATGACCTCTAACGATTTTCACCAAAAAATCTGTAAGTTAACCAAAAATATCCATATTTCTGTATTCATCTAATCACCCAACCACAACCCTAACCCATCCATGGAACAATCCTCCTCTACCTTGGCTAGTGACAACCACCGATATTTGAGCTGCAAACACAATAGCATCAGCCACGACCTCATTTCGTCCTCCGTCGACCCCATTTTCTCTAGCCATTCAACTACATTTCCTCTTAATAAGAACCTTTAAAGAACTGATAAAAAATAAATAAAGACAAATAAATTCTCTTAAGCCAATAAGACCTACTCAAAAAATCGACCTACTTGATCAAGCTGATTAGCAGTAGTTTTTGAGGGCCCTCAACCAACCAATGTGTAGTTGAGGACCGCACTGCATATATTTGAAAGGTTTAGGACCTTCAATGAAAATTTTCCTTTCCAAAATTAATTAATGTTTAAAAATATTATTTTGAAGTTGACTTCCGGTCAACTAACCAATTTTTCTTACAAAACCGTCCGGAGGTTTTTCGGTCGCACAATTTTGAATAGTTTGGGACCTCTGCTGCTATGATTTAAAAGTTTGGATGTAATCTGCACATTTTTGAAAGATTTAAACATTCACTGCGATTATCCCATAAAAGTATGATTCAAACGCGGAAATGGGATGGATTATTCATATGAAGTCCTCAAGCATTTAAATAAAAGATTTTAGCTTGCATATTTACACTACTTGAGAAGCCACCTTACGAAAAATTCTTTAAGAACCACTGTAAATCATTATAGTTTCTTGTAACCATTTGAATCTACCCAAGTACCTAACATCTAAGACCATAATCTATGCAAAAACAACTTACTTAATAGTTAATATATATAATTCTTCCTAATCAGAAATGTTTACAGATTAGATAACTCTAAATTTTTGTCATCAAAATAGAAAAGTTTAAGGGATCAAATTCATCACTCAACAGGATTATACTTGTCTTTATTATTTTGATGGCTTCTCTTTATACCAAGGACATGTTGGACTTCATAGACTTAGTTACATCTAGGAGTCACATAGAATGCAAGTTACAGAGCATCATCATCCTCCAAAAAGTATCATCTAATAACCCGTCCCCTACCCACAGAAAAAATTAATATTATTTAACCACCCTGTATACACTGATGACTTATTGTTGTTCTCCTGTATCGCATGTGCAAATAATTCCATCTAGGCAAACCTGGACCTGTTTTCTGATAAAAGAGGAATAGAATCACCGAAATTCGCAATCCTTTCTTTACATGAGCATATGTAGCCCTGCAATTAACATTAATAAGAATAATGCATAGTTCTGCGGTTGAGATAAATATATACACAAACGAAAATTAACGTAGGCGAAAATGTGTAATGTTCTTGTAATAACCATTTCTTCATATTGTTTTCTTTCATAATTATAGCTGATTCATACCTTTAAAATAACTCCATAGGATTTACGAGCACCCCTTCGTCGTCCCAGCCTACATCTTTTGCATCTGCTTCCTTTCCGATCAACTGAAGAGGCACATCTAGTGGTGGTGGGGTCTGCATGATAGACAATGTTCATGATATACAACTTCAGTTCTGTAATAAGTTTCAGTCAAAGTGATAAACCTGGACTTTTCTTTTAAATATTTAAGGTCAGATTTTAGTTAAATAAGAAGTTGAAAGTTAATACCATGCAACGAATGAGAGGCCATTTAATTCCACTAAAGAAAGGGTGTTGCTTGATCTCATTTGCACCTCCATTAGATCCTAAACGACTAGCAGGTTCTCGATTTAGCAGTGCATTAATCAACTGCCTTGCTGCAAGCGTTACCTGTAATATCATTATATCAAAATCTTTGGTAACAACACAAATGACATTATGCTAGTTCATACAATTTTGGCACACGCAATGGGGTTTATACTAATATCGCTCACTATTGACAATAATGTTAGAATGATTTGTTACGTCAAAACATTTTTTTTTTCTTTTACCACTGACAGAGAGTTTATAATTACTTGGTTGAAGAATCTGCAATGAACTGTTTCATTCTTCCTATAATGTTAAGCTCATACAAACTTGAAATTTTCGTGGCAGCTATATCTCAACAACCAGTTTGATTTCGTTACTCTCCATCACTATCATTCACAAAATTGAGGCACCCTATGCAAATAACTAATACTCCAACCCCTCTTTCTCAATCTCAATTTACCAAGCAGGGAAAAAAACAAAGAGGAAAAGACAGAAAGTCCAGATTAAATTCTTCAATCAAATTTATTTAGAATCATAATTAAGTTTTTGCTTCATTTCATTTTTCTCGAAGCATAAAAATAATCTTCAGCATAGAGATTATTTAGTGGAAATGATAGCTTTCTACGACATGATTTCAAAAACCTTATATTTTTACTCTTCTGGTCTGGCAATAGGGCACTCAATCCTATATGATTTGGAAAATACCATTCCAACTATTAAGACATAGAGTTTCATTTTAAAAGGTCAACCTTGTTAAGAATAGTAGCTCAATTCCTCAACAAACATGTTCCGGCAAATGGTGGCTCATTTGAACACACCAATCATGGAATCTGAATGCTTGTTTTAGCTTAAAACGGACCACATTGCTTGTATTAGCTTTACGAGCTCTGATACCTTTCATCTTAAAAGGTTAGCCTTGTAAAGTTATATGTTGGTTAGTATATTTATACTTGACCGATGTGAGATTTTACCCACATTAAATTTCCTTACATGAAGGCGGATTTGACACCAATAAGCTAAATTTCTAAACTACTTCGAGGTTATTAACTCATTAAAATTGACAGTTTCCTTCAATGCCAATAAGTGGATTGACCGCAACCATAAGTACTTGATTTAATTCAGTATACTTAGAAACCACTGTGTGTAAATGAAAAAGCTCAGGAAACCAAATGAAGGGGAGCAATTCAACACTATTTTACCACTCGTCAGAGTGCATGTTTTTACCGGAATGCTACTTGGGAAGGTGAGGTCTTTGTGCAAGATGTTGGAAAATGTCTTCTGCCTATTCTTTCCCCTGAATGGTGTACGGCCGTAAAGCATTTCATACAACAAAATGCCTGAATTCCAAATACAAGTGATCGTGAGACCAGAAAAGTAAGAAACTATAGTTAAATCGTATTACATCCACGATTATTAAGTATAAACGAAACATGCAGCCATGCAGAATAGCTAATCTTGTGAACTCTACATATTTTTTCTGTGGGAGAAAGAATAAAAAACCTCTTCGAGCACTATTTTAAAAATAATTTTCAAGTATGCAGTTGCTATATAATAAAGTGTGATACATATTTGATGAAGGAGGAGTATTCAAGAATACAGTCGCTAACTAAACCTAGAAATCTATTTCCATATATACTTACCAAGAGCCCACCAATCAATAGCACTACTGTGTCCCTCGCCAGTTATGATTTCCTGAAATGAATCCACCAGTAGGTAATAGGAACCTTCAAGAGCTATGTGTATGCAGGCAACAGTCTAATGGTATAGTTAGTAACTTTTTTTTGAATTAAATAAACAGAGAAACTCTGGGAAAAAACAATAGTTGTTCTTAAGGCACATCTCCCTCAAAGTACAAAAGGTGATAAAAATAAGAAAATGAAAAGCATACTGCACTGAACTAACTCATAAATATGGCAAAAATAGAGTCATGTAGCTAACATCAAGTTTATTAGGAATATCTCTTTTCTCTGATTCAACTAAATACTGTTTGGTTTCCCAGTTAAAACTATGAGCTCACTAGTTGGTTTCAGGATTTGATCTCCGCTATGATCTTATTTATCCCATAAAGATAGATCAAAGTTAAGGATAGTGTATAAAAATAATCTATACAAGCATGATTATAAGACCGATTCATTTATATTTTTGCCCCCAAAACTTCTCTTATGAATTATAGAACTTGTTCTCATTGACCGATCTTCAATTTGAATTGAAGAAGACAATGCCCCTGATGCTACCATTGAAAAGTCTTAACAGTTGTTTGTTTGATAATAAGTAATTAGGAGGAGCAACAATATCACTATAGAAACTAAAACACACCATACCGGTGCAATGTATTCTTCAGTTCCAACAAATGAATTTGACTGAGTATTTGGTTCTGCAATGAAAACAGGAGGTGGTTGACTCCTTGATCTTCTTCTCTTTGGCGGTGGATGCCTTAAAACCTAGGAAAATGTGGTTAATTTTAGTAGGGAAAAAAAAGTAATTGAGAATTGATCGATCTTGGAATCTAATAAGCATAATTACACAGAGTTCACCGCACCAAAATTATTTTCATTTTGTGCATTAAGAGAGCAAGAAGGTCTGTATAACATAGAAATTTTTTTTTACAATTAGTAAGAAATTTTGCTTTACAGAATGAGAACCTTGGCAAATAATTCCCTTCATTGGAATTAAAAATAGTTCAGTACTAGCGATTGTTCTAAATTTAAAATACAAACGTCTACTTAGCCTTTCAGGAATCCATTTGTGTAACAAATTTTTAAGAACTAATGCTGTAAACTTGTCATTGTTTACATGGCCACAAGTGATTTCAGAAAAAGCATGAAAATAGAACCCCAAAGATGTCGATCCCAAAAGTAAAGAAGTATAAACAAACAGAATTATCTAAATATAGTATAGCAAAAATATGCTAGAGAGAAGATTGTGGCATGGCATACTTGGGGTTCACAAGCTGTCTTAAATGATAGATCGAAGTCAGTTAATACAACGTGCCCATCCTTCTGCAGTAGAATATTTTCTGGCTTCAGGTCCCGATAAATTATTCCTGTGATGCGAGAACAGAGAACCGACAAAAGAATGTTAAGGTTTGAATGTGAGAGAATGAAACTCCCTGCTACTAAACAATAGTTTATTTTACTTGGTAGTAACTTAAATAAGTAACAGCTTCTAAAGTGCTTCTGTCCAAATAACTTTTAGTGAAACAGTATTTTGAATAGAAAAATTATTTAACCTGCTAGCTTTGAAACACTAACAAAGATGATATGATACGGTGATTATTTGTTAATAGGATTCTTTTTCTTTTTAATGACTTCATTTATTTCTTTAGTTTTTTTCTAAGATAACCAGAAGCAAGAATTCATACAAGAACTTGAACTTAACAAATAGTGTTCGCTTCCAAAATTGTTCAAAGGAAAAAGTATGAAATTATGCTCGTGCAAACAGTCATAATGCGGCAAGCGAAAATTTATCTACAAAGTTATCATCTATATAAGATACCTAAACAATGAAGATATTCCAAGCCAATGATAACCTCTGCTGCATAAAACCTGTTAAGATGTGACAGAGAGCATTGAAAAGTTACTGGTAACCAAACTAGAAAGTGAATATCTGCTGAACACTTTGATTATAATGGATCGATCTAATGAGTTATAAACTTAAGCCAAATTTTGTTACCTGCTAATTTTTCATTTTATCGTGATAGGTTCAGAGATGCCCACATTAGAGGTATTTATTAAACTTGACAGATTTTAACACAGTTTGAAACTAAGAACTTTTTTTGTCTTTTCTATTGAGACGAAGCAATCTATAGCTTGGAGATTGTTCATCAAAAGGAGCATCGGCCAGATAAGATATTCAAACTAAGAACTAGATATAACAGAATAAGAATAAACTTATTCTAGTCTTTTAGTTTTTAGATATTTCTATTTTAATAGTAATTAAACCATGAAGCTTTTGGCATGTGGATAATATCAGGAGTCTGAATTCGTTTACAATATCATAAGGAAACCGAATGAAACTCCTGGTTTCCTGGATACAGTTGATATTGGTTTAAGGTTAATAATAAGTCATCAAACATATAAAGGTGATAACTGAGTTTGTTAGATTAATAGAGATTTGCAATGAAATACCTAGCTGATTCCTCCTTAAATATATTCATGGGCTGTTTGTCAAGCACTGCAAATAACTCTCCCCCAGAACAAAAATCCGTTATCAAGCAAACGTGTGTAGGCGTCTGGGAGGACAAAGAGACGTCAGACAAGAATCAGATACCATATTCAAAGGCAAGCCTCTTCGACTAGGATGGAATATTGAGTCAATCGTAACACACGCTAGTCAAGACTCAAATTTAATTAATAAAATGCATTTATCATTTTTTCCTCAAAAATATTACCAAAGTAAATAATTACAATGTGACCAACTAAATGTTATCTCTAATCATTTTTTCTAACTTATTTTCTAGCACAGATACACTTCCATGCACATCCCATAACAACATCTTTTTACAAGAGGAATCCCAGCATAAAGATTACTTTTTTCCAACTATCACGTCACAAGCATTACATTACACACACATTTTTTGAAGCATCACAGTGGAATACAGAAGACTATTTCATCCAAAGAAAACAAAATCATTAAGAGACCAAAATGAAATTTGAATAAGTATATTCAAAACTATGTTTCTGAAGATATTTAAATTGAGACATCTAACGTTTACAGAATTGCATTAAGTTGTTAATTCATATATGTACTTCTTATGGCTTTCTGATGTAGAGTGTCACGTCAATCAGCTACATGTTATAACAAAGGTCTGCACAATGGAACTTCCAATGAAGCTTATTTTCGGATTTGTTGTGGATTTCAAATTTCTGAAACTTTTCAAGGTTAAAATCATATATATAGAATAACAAACTTTTAAGACTTAAAAAATACAAAAGAATTATAGTTCTACATTCACACTCACTCATTCTAATATGATGAATATTTTAAATGATTTTGCATGTCCATAAATTTTGAGTTGTCCTTGCTCTTTTGGAACTGAGACTGTGAAACATAGATTTAGCTATTAAGACCATATACTAATAAAGAGTCCAAATAAATAATATGACTTAATTTATGATCCAAGGACCAACATTACAACCCTCTGGCATATCTAGAACTTTGAAGAATCAGTCAACAACTAAAGTCATGGTTAGACAAAAGGATACCGTGCACCATAACCCCCAAAAATAATGCCCGAATATGACTAAATCTGAGTAGAATAAATTGCAAAGTGATATAATTAGTTTATGTGCACGTAATTTCGGTGATATCTTCACAACAACATATTCAATACAAATATACAATAGAAAATGAGATGACCACAAGAAATGAGAACCTGAAACGAGGTGTAGAGGGTGGGAAGAAATGGATGGTCTAGAAGCGAGATAATTTCTCTTTCAATACATGCTCGATGAACCTGCAAATTGCTTAATGATGTTAACATTCTATTTCATGCACAATTAATGAGAGACTTGACTTTGTTAGGTCAAGATGACTATGTACAGACAGATTTAGAAATTAGAACGGAATCAGAAATGAACAAGGGTTGAAATTCAAAAATCTGTCATTACAAGTGATTAAGAAGATAACATTTGGCAGCCACTCTACCTCAGGAAAGCAGAAGTTGTCAGCAGCTTCATTAGTTTGAACCAAAAATATTTACTAATTGTATATTATGTAGAAATATATCTTTATTTCTAATCCTTGTCACCTGTCACATTGTTTTCAAACAGAACTACCTTTATTACTAATTAGTAAAAATAGTAAAAACAGATTTCGATCTTACCTAGTTATTATCATTTTTCCACACGTGTATTGCAATAATTTTATTTTTCATCTAGCTGATATGCTATATTATCTTTCAGATAAAAAAAATGGAACTACAGCCACTATAATATTTATAGGATCCTTTACATACCAGTCTAATCTTTCTTTGTGTTACTGACAAATACCCTATTGCGTAGAAGAAATTTTTTGGTTGGCATCTAATAATCACATAAGTTAATGTTAAAAGTAGACAGTGGTGAGAAAAGGCTGAGGAAATGTAGGCACATCAAGGAACAGAAAATGGTTATGCAATTTCTGTCAAGAATTCACTGTTATGATGCTATAAGCAATATAGTATAACATGAAGATGTGCCTCAGATGATAGAAGAATATGAAAAATTCACTAAACACTAAATACCTTGTTACGATTGAGCATAATAGATTTATCCATTGCCTTCATAGCGAACAGCAGACCAGTACCTTTTAATTCCACCAAATGAACACTGCAGCAAACATGGGCTCAATGAAGAAAAATGTTTTTTGAAGAAGCCTTTAATCTGAGAAAATCAACATGCTTCTTGAGTAGAGGGCATAGAATAACTTAAAACAGATAGTTAAATGTCCTAAGGCTGATCATACGATGTTGTCTTGAGATATATTTGTACCTTCATTAAATCTGATTAATGAGCAAGATATGATCATTTGTATTTCATGATTTCGTGTTTTATGAATAACTTCATAAAAACTAAGTGAAGAAAAAACATTTTAAGAATGTTAAGAATATAAATTATGCATTTCTTGTCACAAGATTCTTAAAAGTTCTTAGTCATAAATTACTTGTTGAGCTCTAATGAATTGGAACTAACCTTTCATATCATTGATAAAAAAGGTTAGAATTATGCAGGTACTGGGTAGACAAAACGTTCAATGAGATGAAATAGATAAATTATTGACTTGAAATTAAGAGAACGGACATTATCAAGTACCAATCAAAAACTTTCTCAAGTACCTTTCAAGTTTAAAATTATCAATTCAAATGAAAAGTATGAGCATCCCTTTCGTTGTATGTCATTTATTAGAAATTTGATTGACTGATCACCTATATCCTATGCAGTCTAATTTGCCCATTTTGTTTAATCTTTTTATTATTTCAACAGTTTTATAGTGGTAATAACTTCAACCTGACAATGACATGTAGGAAGTTCTCAGTGTATAACAAAGGACCGCGCCTAGTTTATAAAATCAGTGAGTCACATTAAATTAATATACCTGCCAGTATCTCCACATCCCAAAGGTCGTACTGGTTTAAAGTGATTGAGTCCAATTTTTTCACCAGCTTCAGTGATCTACATTGGATAAAAATAGTTTTTGTAAAGACAAATCTGTTTGATGAATGATAAAATGTAAGAGAATGTAAGATGATCAAATCTTTCTCTGTTAGAAGTCATTCTCCATGTTGTCCTTCAAATTACAATCTTCAAATGAATTAGTGGGCGCATTCAATAATATGAAATAGGAATATGCTCTGTGTAGTTGATTAAACTGCATATTCAAATATGTATTTATTTCCAAAATCACAGGATGAAATGGAACTTTGGATTTCCTAAATGCATGAAGAGGCCAAACTATTAAGTTTAATTTTAAAAAATAATATCCGGAAACTTTCAGTACTTAAAAGGAGAAATTGAAGATTTTCCATACTAATGCATCAGCACCAAAAATTTTAAAAATAAAAATATAATGAACTTTTTCAAGACATTGCCATTTCTTGACATAAAGCAAGAGTGAGTCTTCAATTCCTGGACATTGAAAAAACAGATTGGCTTCCAAACAAATGGAAGATTCATGGGACAGAAGCATGACATAACAAATATAACTATATTTTTTATTTAGTACATATTAGCAAAGAAACACAATCATTACTTAATATTGAAAAGTACGCTGCTACGCTAGACACATCAGAAGCTACTTTGAAGAACCAAGTACTACACTGGCCGAACCTTTTCTAATCCAAAGAGAATGATGGAGTCCAAAAGACACTAAGAAGCTGATTTTCATTAATTTATGTCATTGTTTTCTTATGTTATTTTAATCTTGAACTTTAAATTAAGTGAGGGCTTTTACGTCCTTACGCAGGTTGTAGGGTTCTTCTTTGCCTATGTTTTCTGTATAAACAGTCTCTTGTAGTTTTTGGTGGGTTGTTTATTGAATAAATAATTAAATATATAGAACTTGAAGTGTTTCCAATCCTATCTATCTAATCTCAGCATGGGACAAGATAATATCTCTTATTTGATTTTTTGCTTCAGCCTACTTACACTTGTATTCTAAACGAAACCAAAAGTTGCAATAGATATGCTTTCCTATAAATAAGAAAAAAAAATGAAGTCAAAAAATAGAAGGCTTCAGAAGCAAGTACAGTTCATATTATCTTTGTAAATGATCCAATTACCACTCATAATAGAAGCAACATTCCTCAATAAGATAAAAATGCAAAATTCTATTTCCATGCTAGAAAAAGTCTCGTGATTTATGAAGAAATCACCATGAACTTCAATCTTCCAATGATCTAAAAGAAACTGAAAAGTTGAACTTGCAAGTTGGAACTGTGACATAAGATTCTCAATCTCCCTTAGTGCCAAAAGTAACGAAACACGACATATGTCAGCACAAATCAAAATAATGTAGCATAACTATTTAGATATGAACAATTACATCCTGAAAACGTGATTGATTGAACTATTAATGATATGCAAACTTCACAAGTTTATACCTTTCTTATTGCTGCCCAAAAAGTACTATCTCGTTTGTGAGGCCTCGGGAATACAGGTTGAGAGTGCAAAGCCCACAAGTCTTCTGGTGTCTGAAAGTGGCACAGCATGGAGATACATTAGTGACAACTCAAATGAGAGCTCACACTTCTATTGTATTAATGCAATGATCTCAGGAGAAAATCATTGAATGAAATCGCATCCTTCTGTAATCTAAGCCTTGCATTTTCTTCTATGCACTCCACAATTGATTCGATTAGTTTGATTTTAGTGAAAAATCACGTTAACAGTTTTATCTGAATTTACAGATAGAGAGAAAGAAATACCTTACCAGGTTGGCATCAGGAAGTTCTCGAACAGCCTCATCAACATTTTCTGCTGTAGCCTTTACCTGGCAAAAAGAAATATTCAACTGATAATTAGACATCTTGAACTTTAAGTGATTTAGGTGGAAATATAGCAACAAACATGGGAGGATTTCGAAATGAGAACTTCTAATAACAGAAACTATTCCATAGACTTCAAAATTTAAGGTTTTTTTTCCCAAAATGTATTTCAGAATAATTCAATATTAGGCATTCTGATGTATATAAAACTCTTTGGTAGTCTGCAAGTGGCACTAATAAGGAACAGAAGCATTTCACATAGAGAAATTCCGCTATAGTAATATTTCCTGTTGTAATTACATGTATAATGCTATAATCCTGGTAAAGTTACATTTGATGTCAAGTTGGAAATTTCATTTGACCACGGGAACAAAAAATGGTTAGAGTACAAAGCTCAGCATCCTAAGTGCCTAATAAAAACTCAAACTGCCCTAGCTGTATGTCATTGTTAAAGTAAAAGAATTAGAAGGTTTAACAATTTTTCACATAGAGAAATTCCGCTATATTTCCTGTTGTAATTACATGTATAATGCTATAATCCTGGTAAAGTTACATTTGATGTCAAGTTGGAAATTTTATTTGACCACGGGAACAAAAAAGGTTAGAGTACAAAGCTTAGCATCCTAAGTGCCTAATAAAAACTCAAACTGCCCTAGCTGTATGTCATAAACTTTTATTGTGAAGAATATTATAAATTGTATTATAATAAACTTGTTTCTATTACAAACTAGAAGACCCTATTTATAGGGTTAGAAATAACTGTAAAAAGAAATAAACATAAAAGGAAATATTACGTAATCTACTACTAAGGAAAGTAAATATTATAATCGCAATCTTTGACGATCTCTGTAATCTTATTCTATATTCTTGACATCCCCCCTCAAATTGATGCTGGTAAAAGTATCAATTTGCAATCATGAACTGAC